GGGTTTTCTAATTTTTTTTGGCTTGTTTAAGGGGGTTTTCTCAGCCCTGGGTGGAGTTTGGGCTTTCTGGAAGGAGCGGTGCTCAGGGTGGGCTGGGCTGGGTGCTCGCTGTGCGGCTCCCAGGGGAAAGCAAGCGGCCGCGAGGGAAATGATGGAGGCTCAGCTCAAAGGGCAGAGCCCTTGTGCGGAGGGATGGACAGCTGAAGACCGGCGTGTGCTTTGCTTCAGGTGTCTAACGACCTCGTTAGGCATGTAAGATCAAAACAGTCGAGAAAGCCACTAGAAAAGACCTGGAGTGTGGCACCTTTGCAACCGCGTTTAACACGGTGCCGCTGAAGTGATTAATATAGCTAAGAGTAAATATTTTTTTTTCTTTTAAGCGTAACCTTTAAATGTTCCGCGGAGTACCCTGGAGGCTTCCCAAGTGTCGGCCCTACCACCGCAAGCTGTGAAGCAGCTCTGTCCCTCCGGCCAGCCCAGGAGCTGCCGCTGCACGTCCCCCAGGGAGCCGGGGGGACCCCGGGCAGCCCGGCCCTGCCAACGTGGCCACTCCACTGCAGCCCCCTCCAAAACGAGCTTTTTAGATGTACGGTCAAGTCAGCTCTCCATAAAATCCAAAGCGCAGGTTTTTCTCTACTCACGCCTCGGGGATCGCTTTGGCATCGACTGCCGCGGCAGCGTACCTCACTACAGCCCAAACCAGGGAAGGTCAAGGCTGGAGCTTCCCTTCTTTCCCTTGTACACCGGGAAAGCTCTTCTGGCTACAGGAACGCACGATCCCAACGCTCAGCGTGTTTCAGGGCCCTCTGCACTAGTTCATTTTTATTGCTGAGAACCATCGCTATTTGCTGTGTGGCTCAGCTGCTCCGCTCAGCAGCCACTGCCTGCTTGGGGGGATTTTTTTTTGCCTTTTCCACTCTGGAAGGGATTTTTTTTTGCCCCTAACAGCAACCTTGGCTGGGAAACAGGCTCAGCCAAGAGCTGGGCTGAGCTTGCAGGCTCACAGAGCGAGTAGTGCTGTTGTCTGCGTTTGCTCAAATTGCACTTGAATACTTTGAACGTGGTGCGCTTGATTTGGTCTGGGTCCTCTAATAATGACAGATCGGGGTGGGATCAAAGCCATGAGGGACAGACAGAAACTCTGTGACTGTCATCCTGGGAGTGCCACTTACATGCCCTGCAATACACGGGGCCACTGCTTGGGATGCAACCCCATGGAGAGTCCAAATTCAGACCTGAGCAGTGCTACAATTCATACACAGCAGCTTACACTTTCCCATTTTGCCTTTTAAAAAGTCTAGTGGGAGGTGTCCCCGCCCAGGGCAGGGGGTTGGAACTGGATGATCTTCAAGCTCCCTTCCAACCTAAACCGTTTTATGATTCTGTGATTTCCCATTATTACTATGTTCCCGTGAGCGCGGCGAGGGCAGATGCCCTGTGCTAGTTTTAAACCCACAGCACGGACGTGACAGCCCACAATACGGCAAAACCCCTCAAACCTACAGCATGTGCCCGGGCTCAGCATCACGTACCCACGGCTACAGAGCCCGCGGTACCCAGCCCCGTGATATAAAGCGGATAAAGGAGGTGCTACCGCCGAGCGAACGGAGCTGAGCAGGCTGCGGGTACCCGTTCAGCCCCCCCCAGGTCATCCCCATCTCTGCCCCACGCTCTGTTCCCGCTGGGCAGACGTCTCAGCTGCTGCCTGAGATGCACAAAGCAGTGGGTTTCCATAAAATTGTATTTCCAAAGATCATCGACATCACTTAAAAGTTCCTCTTCCTTTCTAATTGTATTTACTGGGACAAGAAGTGAACGAACGGTTTGGCATCTGGGGAGCTATGACATGAATGCTATAGCCAGGCAGTGAGCCAAGAGGATGTTCAAAATACTCCTGAAATGTGGATTTCTAGAGCTATCATGCCGTCGGGAACGGCATTACCAGGGTCAGGCTGGATGTTTGGCAAACACCAGTTGTCAGCGCCCTCCCCCCCACCCCCCGGGTGGTTTCTGGCCATGCCATGGGGAGGGGTCCGAGCCGCAGCAGCCACTCACGTAGTTGTCTCTGGCAGACCAGCCGGGGTAGAGCTGCATGTGGAGCTGCCGTTCCTTGCGAGCCAGTTCGTAGTACTTGGCCTGCTCCTCCCGGGACAGCGCGTGCCACTGCAAGGACAAGCGTGGTGGTGAGACGTGGCCCCGCTGTCCCCTCCCAGCCCATCCCACCGCGGCCACCCCGCTCCGGGACACATCTGACTCTGCGTGTTTAAGGGATTTGAAAAGCAGATGCTTGTTACGTGCTTAAGAGCAGCTGCAAGGGACGGGGATGCTGCACTGGGACGGCGGCGCTGAGCCCCGTGTGATCTTACCCTCCTTCCCAAGATCTGGTTGATGGCGGCGCTCTCCTTCAGGGTGCACTCGGCGATGACTTTCGCCCGCATTTCTTTCATATACAACATGAAAGCGTTCAGGGGCTTCTTGATAGTGGGCTTCTTGGCTTCCTTCTCTCTCTTTGGTTCTGGTTGAGGTTTCCTTGGTGGGACGGAAAGAGGAGCTGTCAGCATCGGGGCCGCCCTCCAGCTCGCCTGCCTGGTGGCACCAAGCTCAGCAGAAGACTTCACACCAAACCCACCCGATGGCACAAGCGAGTCGGGGGCCTGAGATCTGCGCACCGCTGCCTGATGCAGGCAGAGCTCGGTGTTCATCCATCCCCGCGCCCCCCACGCAAGCATTAATAGGGAGAAATGAAACGGGGATTAAGGTGGTAAAGCCGTTGAGGGGTTCTGCCGGCACTTCCAACTTACATGTTTCGGTCATAGTGCTCCATCTCTTGCTTGCCGGAGTGGGGCACGATGGCGGGGTGCGGGATGCCGGTGGTGTGCATGCCGGAGCCCAGCATCAGCGGGTGAGTGAACCTGCAACAGAGAGCGGATGAGCCGTGCCGGGAGGGCTGCTCCGGGGATGCTGGGGATGCTGGGGATGCTGGGGAGGCAGCCGGAGCGGTGCGGCTCACGAGATGGCACTCTGACGTGGCAGAAGCAGACGGTAAGCGGAGGACATGGAAAGCAAACCCAAAGATGCCGCCAGGCTGGCGGGGGGCAGGCAGCACCCACCACCCCTGGGTCGCCTCCGCTGCATCGGCAGCGGGCACTGCCGGCCGAGCTGCCGGGTCCAGGTACCGCACAGCGGCGAGGAAACCAGCCTGACCGAGATCAAGGCTGCTTTCAACCAGCGGTTTCAGCTCCTCAGCTCTCTCTTGCTGCAAAATCTCATTAGCACTGCAAAAAGGAACAACAAACTCAACCCAAGGGTTTGGACGGGAGAGATTAGGACCACCCCGCGCCTTTCCTTTAACAGAAATAGCATCAGTCTGAACATGAACCGAACTGCAACTCTAGGAGGTGCACCTCGCCTAAGCAATGCTCTCCACCAACACAGGACTGAGATCACGAGAGGTCTCGCTAGCTTTCAGGCTTCATTAGCTCTCTCGAGAGTTTCAGAGGGTAAAGCCAGCGCAGTCGGCTTTGCCAAGCTTGCCACTTTATGACTGCAGCTTGAGATGGCAGAATTGCCCATGGGAGATGAACTGTTCATTAGATATGCTGGCACGAAAAGAAAAGCCGTTTAATTTAATCAAACAGCAGAGTCTGATCCTTATCTGACCAGGTGTACTTTCTCGGCTGCAGCGGCGCTGCAAAAACCGCCCCAAAATCCTGCGAGCGGCGGCTCCCGCGCCGGGCTCGGCGAGGCTGCCGGGCCTCGGCGGGGAACCGTTAGCTATTCTCTCGCCTTGGAGGCCGGGCACAGCGATGCCTCGGCGAGCAGGGAGGGCTGGCAGCTCTCCCTCGCCTCTGCTGCGGGGCTGAGGGTTTGCAGGGACGGAGGGCTGCACGGCTCGAGGCTTGCACGGCTCGAGGCTTTTGCACGGCTAAGGGTTTGCATGGTTTTCCTGTGGGAAACCTCCGCTAATGGCTCTTTAGGACAAGGCGAAGCAGAAGCGAAAGCTGGTGAGCGAGCACACGCGGCGTGCACAGGCGTCCCCACGGCGCTGCCGTCCTCGCTGGAGCCACGGGGGCTTTGCCCGCCAGCACGACCAGAGGGGCTGCGCTCTGCCGTTTCCAGCCGCGGGGGATGTGTTTTGCTCACTGGGACATCACTGGGCTCTGGGTGTATTTACAGAGGGCAAAATTCGGTGCTGGGTGACCATAAACTCGCAGTAGGAATGGTTCGGGGCTGTGTCATGCGCTTACGTCTCAGAGGGCTACGCTGTGCCGAGGGGGGGACAGCAAGTCCTGCTGTCCCGCTGTCTGTCCTGCTTTTAGGGCTGAGACCGAGCACAACGGATCGGTCCCTGCAGAGCAAAACTCAGCGGTGGTGGCCGCAGGGGTATATTCAGGATTAAGGTTAGTGACAAGGAGCAAAATCCCGAGCAAGGGATCTCACCCCCTCTTCCCAACGCTGCGCTGAAGGCAGAGGTTTTTGGCTTTGAGTTCTGCAGTTCTCCCAGTCGTTGCGCATCCTGCCGGGATGCTGGATATTCCCCTGACCGCCCTTTGGACCAGACATTGCCTCAAAGCGCCTTCTCTTCCCACGGCTGCCCCCGGGGAAGGCGCGTGGCCGTCCCGGGGTGGCCGCGGTCTGCTGCAAGCTCCTACCGCACACGCTGCAAGCTGCGAGACCAGCCGAGCCGCTGCCCTGTCTCACACAGCTCATACTCACCTGGAGAAAGAAGCCCCAGCAGAAAGCGCTGACGAATACGGCTGTCTAAATCCACATGACGGGAGCGGATAGACAGACTGGCTCTGCCTGGGATCGGGAAGAAAGAGTCTATAAAGTATCCACAGCTACGTGGTGTTTCCTAAAGATACCCTTTGCTAAGGGGACTCAGAGCACCGATGCCCCAGAGCGTCTCTGCCTGATGGGATGCTCGGCGTGTCCCCTGGGCTCAAGGGGCAGTGAGGGACTCGGACTTGATTTTGGGAGAAGCTGGGTCTCCCTGGAAAGGTTGGATCCAGCTCTGACCACCCCCCTCCGTCCCCGGTGTTGAGTAACACTGCGGCTTTGAGTTCATCCTGGTAAAACGCAAAATGCGGAGGGGTGCTGAAAAACGAGGAGACGTTGCTATTGCACAGACAAAGTTGCTTAAAAGAGCAGAGTTTGTCCAAAAAACTAAAGCCTGGTCAGAGTATCTCTCTGTGAGGTGTACAAGAGGCTGCGCAGCCGTGGAGGATGCCCAAGCATGGGAATCTCCTGGAGTCCGGAGAGAACGCACCTACTCTGCCCTTGTACACGCTTCAGAAATGCTCTGGTTTCCCCAGCGCATCCCTAAAAGGATGCCCGTCATTTTTAAACGAGCCGAAAGCTCGGTCCTACGTTTCTCTTGAAAGTTGTTTCATAGCGGGGAGCGGGCACATACCAGACCTGGAGCTGGAAATGATTTTTGAGATAGTAAAATAACTATGCAGGAAGTTCCTCGTTGTTCCCAGCAAGGGAAACCCCCCCACCACCCCGGGTTTCATATGGCGATAGCTCAAAAATACCTCGGCTTGTTCTGCAAAACCTGCCAAAAGATGCTGCCAGCCTAAAACTGCGCATGGAAACCGAAATGCCTGAGGAGGATGCGACCGGGTGCTTAAAGCCCCGCAGATGCTCGTGCTCCTCCGGCCAGGCTGCGCGGAGCTGTGCCTAACGCCAGCACCGGCTATTTTCAGCTCTAATAAGCGAAAAACGCCCATCATCATTAAGGTGCGGTGCCCCGCGAAGGACCGAGCTCCCGGATGCCAGGGATTTTTCAGGGCTAAAGACAAGTTTCTGCCCCAAAGAGGAATAACGACAGCGCTGCGGGAGTCGGGCCCTGGAGCTGTGCCGGGGAGGAAAGAGGTTTCTGTTTCTGCCGCTCCGGGAGCTGCTGTGTCTTGGCTTGACCGAAATCTGCAGGATCTGTCTGTCGGAAAGGCAGGCGAGGCGGCGGGGCTCTGTTTACACCCTGCCAGGCAGCAGCCCTCTCCCACCCTTAGATGTCGGCGGGTATAAACACACCAACAAACAGCCAAGTGCTACCGCGCATCGGGAAACCGAAACAACCTTTGAAGTCGAAGGCAGCTGCCCCAGGGCCGAGAAAACACTCGGACCTAATCCAGAAGGGACACGCGTTACTGCAGAGGCTGATACTGGGGCAGAGAAGGAACCGGGAACCGTGGCTTCATCCGAAGTGATTCTGACGTGCCAATTAATGCCGTTGCAGAATCAATCCCGGCTGCTCGGGAATGCAGAGTTCCAGCCCGTATCGCCCGGTGATGGGAGGGCGGTGGGGAAAAAAATGCACGGGACAGCCGCCGAGGGGCCGCGGGGGCGTGAGGCGTTTCTGTGGCTGCCGGCTGGTGTTTGGCGGCAGGGTGTTGTTAGCAAAACTCACTCAACTGGACTCTCCGCCTGCCGGCTCGTGGAGGAAAGGCTGCTGCCCGCACGTGGCCGCTCCGGCTCAGCGGCACCAGTGTGAGCATCCCCGGCACGAGCATCCCCGGCACGAGCATCCCCGGCATGAGCATCCCCGGCACGCAGCCCCCGCTGCCTCCTGCCTCCTGCACGGGGTCATCGCTGCCGATTCTGCACCCACCCGCACCGCTGTGCTGAGCCTCGGCTGAGGATGGGGCGCTTCAGGAGAGGTTTTGGGGTTCTCTCCATAAATTTTGGAGGACCAAAGGCTCTATTAGACACCCGCGCTTCGAGGGGCTGCTCTCTGCTCCATCAGGCTCTTTGTAGCTTTACTGTAGCTGCTCTATTAGTCACTAATGAAGGCGTCTGACGAGGTGGCTTGAGGATGCCAAACCCCGCAGATGCTGGGGCAGCTCTCAGCAACACAACTCCCTCCGCCACCAACCGACCGACAAAACCTCTGCGCAAACCAGACTTCTCTCCCCTCCGCGCGCTTCGGGCTGCCCTTAACAGCATCCCACCCCTAGAGCGGACCTCGCACTTGGCAAACAGGCTCCTTTCTCACCCCCCACTATTTCTTTCATGTTATAGCACAGTCACCCCAGTACTTGTTTTTCCTGAGGATGAATCATATCATACGGGGAGTTAAATCATCGCCCAAGAGTAGCAAATTTAGCACAGAAGGCAAAATGTAATCTCTTTGAAGCCAAACTCTGTATCAAAGGCCTCAGCCCCTGCTTCCTTGTGGTTAAATATGTGGAACATGAAATTCATAAACAAAACAAAAAGCTACCATTTTACTTTGTGCTTTAATACGCTTCGCTCTCCCATTTTTTGCAATGTCTTCTTGTACCTGGAGGTCTCTGCCGGGCTTTGCGGGGGTTTTAGCAGCCGGCACCGGGGAGAATTTGGCCGTCTGCCCCCAGGATCGCCCTCCCCGCGCTCTCCCCCTGTCCCGGCCACCCCGACCCGCCGCCTGCAGCCTCCCCGCCAGCCTCTGCAAGGTCCCTGCGTCACCGACCGGGATTAAAAATTAATCTGAAGAGTGACGATGCCCACGCAGCGCTGCCTGCCAGACCCGCTCCCTCGGTGTGCTGACGATCACGGTGACAAAAGCCAGCGGCAATGACCACAGAGCACATACCGGTGTCTTTTTAACTCCTGGCCCTGGGGCAGGTTTCCCAACAGGCTCCGCTTTTGCGGGGCTGGCTCATGCAGGAGGGACTTTTTGGGAGGGCTCCAGCTCACGGTCCCTCTTTCCCCGTCCCCCCCGGGGCAGCGGGTGCCGCCGAGCCAGCTGTGCCACAGCCATGCTGCGGGTACCGGGGTCGTTCGCTGGGCAGGTCTCTGCCACTGTGTATTTTTTTCCCTGCGCGTCAGATCCCGAGGAGCACCATGGCCTGGCGGATGGAGCATCCCATTAGATTACACCGCACCAGCGGCACGCTCAGGGAAAGCAGTGTTTGCTCTGCAAACCCCAATGAGGGAGAAAATTACCTCCTACTCAAAGAGAGAGGCTTTTCTTTCAATTAGGAGAGGTGGGTAGGAAGCTCTCCCTGGGTTTCCTAAGCCGCACAGGCAGCTAGATGTGAGGCAGGAGATGGTTTTGAACGGGGCAGGTTGCAATCCCGCTCCAGGGATGTCCCAGCTGGGACAAAACCTTCAGCCTCTCCGTGGATCTGCTCCCCATCGCTAAAACAGGGCTAAATCCTCCTCCCCATCACACAGCAGGCAGAAGGGATGAAGCTGGGGTGAAAGCACCGTGGAGGTTCCGGAGAACGGCTGCACGCGGTTTGCTCACTAAACCGTCCCCGGTATGGCGCGGCGGGTGGGCTGGGGGCTGCGCGGGGCCGAGCCCTCCACACTCACCATCCCATCGATGGCGTGATCTGTCCGACTCCACCGGGAGGGAGAGGGTAGAAACCGGGGATGTCTGAGGTCTGGGAAGGACGGTGCACTCCTGCGAGAAGAGAAGGGAGAAGGAGATGAGTTGGGGCCGGCACCGCGCTCCCCGGCTGCCCTGCCCTGCTCCCGCCCCCCCCCGGCTGCCGCATCTACGGGCACTTGTGGGCAGCAGGGAATATCTGTGAAACAGCTGTCTGCAAGTGGCAGGATATTTTAATTGCCTTTTTTTTTTTTTTATCGCTGTGGTTCTCTCTGTGGGGATGTGGTGGCTCGTCCACGTTGCTGCGGAATCCCAACCGCTCGTGTAACGGGGGTGGGGAAGGCAGTTTGCTGCTGCACAAGCACCGTCCCTGCTCCGTGCCACCCTGCGGCCAAGCAGCGACTTGCTTTGGGAAGGATTTGATGGACTCTGGACATCCCTCAGCCCTTCCCAAAGCGCCTGTTCAGGTGCACAACTGATGGTCAAAAGCCGTTCCTACACCCCCTTCCCATCAGTCTCCCCCCGGGACTCCTCAGGAGCGGCCAGCGGGGATGCTCCGGCGGGCAGCACTTCTATCTCCATCTTAAACCACTTGAGTCCCCGTTCAAAGCAATTGTTTCGCGGGCTCCGTGGGTGCCGAGGAACGGCGGAGGTGGGTATGGTGCCAGCTGGGAATTCACCCTTCGCATGGGGAATCCCTGCGTGATCTTCAAAGCCGCTGGCACGGGCGGCATGGCCAGAGGAGACAGCCGCGGCATCTCCCCGTTTCCATCGGGACTTGAAAAAAAAAGCCCGCGGAGCCCCGGGGCTGCGGGTGGGACTCAGACAACCACAGTGCTGCTGGCAAAAGCCGCCTCTGGCTGAGCCCCGCACTGGAAAACCGGGGGGAGAAGGGGAAACTGGGGCCGAGCTCTGCCACAGCATCGTGTAGCGCTGACTGCTAACGAGCCTCAGACAAATAATTGTGTACAGAGATTGTCCAACAGCTGTCCTGGGCAATAAATACATCGAATAAATTGGCGATTAGCTGCAAGCGGTTTGCAAACTCCCAAGTCTGGATTATTCTCCTAGGCATACCAATGATAAATGATTAATTAGGAACGACACCAGCAGATCCCAAGCACCTTCTTACGAGTTACCCAAAATAAATATACAACTGAACTGAAAGGAATATATAACTTAGTATGAGATTTGCCTACAGCTGCGCTCAAGTGGGACGCAGCAGTCCCCTGAAGGTGAAATAAAACCGGCATCTGCATCGGGCAGCTGCCAGGAGTTCCCGAGATTTGGACCTCCAACAACACATGTTGTGTAAGCCAGAGCACAAGTTATTCTCGCTGGCCCAGTGGTTGGGGCACCAGCCACTGACTCAGAAGATCCTGCTTATATTTCCTTGTCTGCGTGTCCTTGGGCTACCGGGAAACACTTTAAAGGGATGCTGTGAGAATGAGCACGACGGTGACTCTCAGGCGGTTACATCAGGCGATAATGGGAGATATTTCAGCCATGAAACCAGAGATGGGACACATCCAGAATGAACGGGGAAGGACACCCTCGTCCCGGCAGCGTGGGGATGGGCCGTGCAAAGCTGATCACGGCTGCACCACGGGAGCAGGTTCGGGCTCAGGATGATGGTCTGAACCTCTCCAGAAATAGGACCTGGGGGGTCTCCGGGATGGACAGACTCCCTCCGCCTCCGACGTAAACGTACTGGTTAAATGGGAAAGGGGAGACTGGGAAGTGCCTGCACGGGGGGTGCAGCCAGAGGACAGCTTCCCCGAATAACTGACCCACCGCAGAGACGAACACTTAGGGACTACTCCAGTGCTGATCAGAGCCTCCACGGAGGGATATAACCAGCTCATCCCTCGGGTGAGCTGCTCTCGTATTGCTTAAGGCTTTCCAGGCACACGGCGAGCCCCGGGATGGAGCTCACGGAGAGGGGCTTTGTGCTCCCCAAGGCATCTGCAAAGGCAGTGTGAAGGAAGGTGCCTGGGGTCACCCTCCCGGGAGGACTGAGAAATCCGCACGCTTCCTCTTGAGATTCGGAAATCTGCCATTAGCTGAGCTTTTAACAGGTTTATTTTGTTAACTCTTCATCTTTTTCTGCTGAGTTTATTACGCTCTGGTGGCTGACAAGCGATGTGCTGGCTGGAGGAAAAACAGGATCTGCCCGGGTATCTCTTACACCGGACTGAAATCCTCCCCATCAGCATCCCTGCTGAGTCCAGAACGGGGCCTCTGGATTCAGACCAGGGATAATTCAGCGTGTCCTCCAGCCAAGAGCATCCTCGATACTCCATCATTTTAGCAATAATGTTAACATGGCAAAGCTGACGTCTCTGGGACAGTTTGGATCGCTCTTGGGTGGAGGCCTTCACCCAAATCACCACAGTTGGTTTTGTGCCTCCGTTTTCGCACTGAACTCTGAGCTCTGGTGAACCCCAAATCCCTTCCTGTGACACAAAACCGACAGTTTGCTCACTTTCCCCTGAAATCAAGACCAGGTTTGTGCAAAGGCCCGGGTAATCTGAGCAGATGCTGAAAGATTCTGTTGCACTAACGTAAAGTTGAGAAAAGTTTGATTTTACACTCAGCTTGCCAGTAACCCTCAAGCATGCTGGGCTGGGGTGAATTCCTGTGCACATACCTATATTTTACAGCTCAGAGTTTAACCTCTACCTACTGTACTTTCCTCCGTAGCCTCACGAGCTAATTGACGTGTCCTGGACTCACACAAGAACCCAAAGAGCCAAACTGTGTGACAACCACATAACGTGTGGCTACGGACACACACATAAACCAATCCAGTTAGCTATCAGACGCCGATCTTGTTTAGTCAAAATATTTCCTGTTTCAAGCATTTATTTTCTCAAAATGACAACCTGACAACAGTTTGGGTATGAGTCAAAGGAAAGATTACTTTCCATTTTCTGGTTGACTCTTGGGCATCATCTCGCGGGCTGGCCTCAAGCTACAGGACAGCTTGCACAGAGAACTGAGCACGCTTGATCAGCAGAGTTGGCACTTTCGATATCAAACTCCTCTCTATCAGGATTACAAAGCATTGCCAATAAGCTACATAAACTCCCACCGCTCAGCAACGCCCCCATTGACCAAAGCCGTTGACTTTTCCCATTGTCCAGGAAGGTGACAGCCTTCATCCCAGTGGTCTCCGGCACCGTCCCCCTCCCGCCACGCAGATCCCCGGCGGTGCCATTACCTTGTTTCTGGTTGATGTCGGCGGGCAAGTGGGGCGAGTGGGAGCCGTGGCTGAAATGGTCGTTGCTGTAAGGGATGAGCGGGGTGAGCGGGTGGACTCCGTGGGACGGCTGCACGACGGGAACTTTGTTGGACTGCAAGACACAAGGAGGGAGAGGGCTCAGAGGGAGAGGGCTCAGAAGTCGTCGGGCTCCGTGAGCGAGGAGGGTCGATGCCCTTTGCGGTCCCGTCCTTGCAGGCGAGGCTGGGAATTACCAAAAACCCCCAACGACTCTCAAGGGCAAGGCAGAAAATGCCCTTGCCTGCTTAAATAAACACTACAGCATCCTGCAAGAAAAATCCATAAACCAAGCAGTGAGAGCAGCCGAAGCTGATTGCACGGGTAGGTGGAAAACCGCCCAAATCAACGTGACGCTTTCAAAATTCAGAAGAAATTATTTTCGTTCACTTCCAGTATCTTTCATTCCAGGATGAATGCTACCAGCGTTTGTTGTTACCCCAATGCACCGCTCTTGTTTTCTGCCTTGTGCCACCACAGGGTCTAAATCTGGACTTTCACATCCTGCAACATTCACCCCGAAAGCCGCGCTCGGGCTTTCCTAACCCGGGGCTCTCAAGGAGGGAGAGCCGCGCTGAGAGCAGTGCCTTTGAGAACGCGACGTGGCCGGCAGCGAGCCCTCGGGCTCAAATCCCCCTCGGTCCCAGCTCCAGCGCTGGGAGAAGGACCGGAGGGAGCTGAGGCAGTGCTGGGGATGCCACAAACCCTTTTAGCAAAGAAAAATCCGTCTCCTCTTGCAGCTACTCCCGGCTGTGCACGGCCGAGGCCACTGGAGCTGTAAAAGGGGCTTTTTTTGTGAACACTTCTGCGTGTTGGAGCAGAGAGGGGGGAACCTGTTCCTAAGAGCTGCAGAGATGTACGGGAAACACACACACACACACACACGCGCACGCTGCCGCCTCCCGCCAGCCTCCTCGCCTCGAGCGTCTCAAGCTGCTCCCAACATGCCCGGTTTCGCCCATGGTTGCCTTTAAACCCAAACTGACTTCGCCTCGGTGGCGGAATGTTAGGATTCGTCCCAGATGAATCCAGAAAGAGAAACAGGACCGACCAAAACGGGGAGAGAATGAGAACAGACCGGGTAAGACAGCTCTGCAGGGGTTTGGAGCCAAGTGTTGCTGGCCAGACCTCTTGTGTCCCACCAGGACGCGTCCAGATGAGTTGCTGCCTGACTTCTGACAAGTCATTTACGATCTCTGGACTTGATTCACTGGTGCCTTCCACTTTGGTAGTGATTTTGCTCAGGCCGAGCGAGCGCGAACCGCCAGTCGTGTTTGGTGGAGGTGGCGCAGCCGCAGCCGACGGCTCTGGAGGACCCGTCCTGGACCTCTCCCTGCCGCTCCAAGCTGCGTCCACGGCAGCCTGAGAGCCCTGGGCAAGTCCTGCATTTTGCATCCCTGCTCCGAGGAGGAAACCCGCCAAGGGGAGAGGAAAGCAGACTGATGGAGACGCCACTTCACATCTGTCTTTCCCACAAAGATTTGCTCATGCAAATAAAACCCAAGAGGCACGCAGGTTTGCCTCTAAGAATGAATGAAAACCCGAATTCCTGATGCTTACCAGGCGTAGGTTTACTGCGTACAGCGGGACTCTGGGAATGTAACCCCCCCTCCCCAGCACAAACTGGTGTGGTACAGGCGTTCCCGTCCTGCAGCAGGGCTATGGGCTGTGTGGTTTTCCCATCGAGAGCGGCGCTGGGCTTAGTTAAACACATGTTTGGAGCTCTGAGCTTTTACTATTCTTGCCCACGAAATGAGATGAAGAATAGCTTTTCAGTGATATTTCTAAAATTAGCTATGGTTTAGCTTATTTAAGAAGCAGAAAGCTTCTTATTAGGGATAGGCAGTTCTACGTGCACATTTTAACGTGACACCGGAGCAGAACGAGCTCCATGCTGAGCTGTTTTGAACACTTCAGCTGAAACATTGCTGCTGTTCAGAGTGGGGCAGATCTCCCCTTCCCACTCGCACCGCTCCTGATCCAAAGCACAGCACCATCCGCCCGCCGGCCTCGCTGCCTGGCGCCTGTTAGCAGCTTTCGGAGCAACGACAGAAGACACAGACCACTACAAAGGCCCTTGAACAGTCCTGATGAGGAGACCTCAACAGTGAAAAGCACTGAGCACGTGCGGTTACAGCAAAGGCACGGGCTGCCCTTCTTCCCCATCAAAGCAGAACATGGTAAGGTGGGGATACAGTAGGTTGCAGCTCAGTTACGCCGATTTTCCATTAGTTCAGATGGGAAACAAGACGTTGCACCAGTAAGAAGAGCCGGCCTTCCCCGTGTCCCTTCTGCGTTTGCACTTGCCTTGCTAAAATCTTTTCTCCTACTCTTTAAAGTCATAAAGAGCTGGTGGGGAAGGATGCTCGGGTGGGAGGTAAGACAACAATTTCTGCAAGCGGCTATTCATCCCCCTGCCGCCTCCTCCATTTGGGAGTTCATCACAGGAACCCATCTCCCAGGAACCAACTGAGGGAAGAAGGACACGTTGCACAAAGATCTGGAGAAACAGAGTGGACTCCTCCAGTGTTGATCCCCGGGTTAAACACCGCAGACGGTAACGGTCGCGGTCCATGGCCACGTCCGCAGCTCCTGGTCGTCACCAGATGTGCTGTGGCTGCCGCACGCGTCTCTGCTGTGAAATCATACCTCCTTTATAGAAATCTCTGTGCCGGAGAAGGGGTCTCAATTCCTCTTTTTTTTTACAAGGTTTAGATTTATTTTCTGAAATCAGCTGCAGCGCGTGAACCCTGAAAAAGCTTTTCAAAGCTGGGACTCATCAGCTGACAATGTCTTACACCATAAAATTAATCCGATGTAAGTGTTTTCTGCCGAGCGGACTGATTTAACACGAGGGTAGTGTGTTGTCTGTGGTGTCTGCTCAGCAGGTCCCCCGGGAGGACATGGGGTGGTGTTGGTTGGGGCATCACGGGGATGTGCTGCAGTTTGGTGAAGCATCTTCCTCCGTCTCCTCCCCAAAGCCGTGTTTCAATACAGCTCAGAGCAGTGGTGACGGAGCTGCTGCCCACCCAAAATAACGCTGCTGGTGCCCAGCGTCACGGCCCCAACCCCGAGTCACCCCAAGTCACCTCCCATCCTTCGGCAGCCGTGGGGGGACATGAAAGGGCTCTGGGGACAGCTTTGTCTCACCTCTCCCAGCACAGCCCTTTGAGGGCAGGTCGGGGAATGAGCTGTGCGGCCACGACCTCGCTACAGAAATGAAGAAGCACATTTACAGCAACACCAGAACGGTATTTCCAGAGGAGACGGAAGAGCAGAATGGGTTTTACAAGCCTGGAGGGCCTTTTCTTCTTCTCATATTTGCTGAATTGCAACTCTCCTGAGCGTGGTGGCCGCTCGGGTCCCCGTGTGCCTCGTGCCCGCAGCCGGTGGCGCCGCTCGGCACTGGGGCAGGTACCGACCCCGCAGCGGCCTTAATTCCCCCCCCCCAAACCTCGCTGAAAATAATTAAAAAAACCCCCGACTGCGAGGGAAGAAGCTCCCACGTCAGAGCCAAGAAGTGACTTTAATAACTAGAGGTAATTGGATGAGCAAAGAGAAAACACAGTGGCGTTAATTATTAAGAAAGACTAATTGTTGGCAAGGCAAAATTAGGAGACCTCACCGCTCACGCACGGGTGTCTGATTGCGAGAGCAGCTCCAGGCTAGCTAGAAAACTCTCCTTTCGCTGAGCACGCACAAACCCAGCAGGTCTTTCGCACCAGGATCACCCTCCCGATCAGAGCCGCAACGTTATTCGGCTCCGAGATGCCCCACCAGGCGCAGCATCCTCCGCCCTTGCTCCCATCCCGCAGGACACGTGTGCCCAGCAAGGGCTGCGGCGTGTCTGGCCGCGGGGATATCCAAACCCGGCCAGCACGGTGCCGGTTGTTCAGATCTATAAATCAGTTTGTTTTAAACCAAAATGTAGGTTTTTCATTAGAAAATGGGCAGAGATTGCAATCAAACATTTGCTGGAAAGCACCTCCTGTTAGCAAGTATTTTGACTCATTTTTTAAAGACCGATCTATTTAGTCGTGACATGCTAAAAGTGAGTAGTTTGACTTTGCTGGCTTGACAGAGGATTTTTCTTTTAAAGCTTTAAAGCTAATCTTAGCAAAATGTAGCGCAGGAGGTCAAAAGTCAAAATTTGAGTGAAACGATCAAACCAAAAAATTTCCACGGCCGGCAAAAACTCTTTGGGTTTTTAGCTCTGTAAAAACATTTTAGAAAAAACGGTAGAGAATTTTTTTCTGCTTGGATCAGTTCAGGAAAAGAAATAAAAAAAAGAGAAGTGAATGTTTTGTAACCTGTGAAAAACTATTCCTTGCTACAAGCGAAAGCAGCTCTGAAGAGCAGCAGTGGTCACAGCGAACTGCCTGGGGGGCCGCTGGGCATCCCGGCATCCCGCCGGTGCCCCACCGCTGCTTCTACGCATGGGAATTTCTTTAATTAATTTTCTGCCAGAAGACAATTCGTAACTTAAATAAGGCAGCTTAATTCTACTGCCCCTGACAACGCTCGGTGCCCAATCTGGTGAAAAAGGTTTTTGTTAAATTTCACGATGAGCACCCAGGAGGGGTCCTCCCACGGGCTGCGCACCCGACCTGCGCCGTGGGGAGTCGTTTAATGCATTAAAGGAGGAGAGTAAACCCGTCCGCCACAATTCAGATTATTCCAGCCAAATACAGCTCACTGATTTTCATCTGCTGATTTTCATCTGCCCCGTTGCACACAGGCAGAAAGCATCCTTCTGAGGAACAACCCCTTCTCGGTTTTGATGACTGTATTTCAAGAGTTTTTACGTTTTTCCCTAGATTTTGAACAAAAACAACCGAAGTGAAGAGCTGGCTTTTTTTATAGTTCGTTCTTAAGGCAAAGTCACATAGATGACGCTGTTTGGTAGGAAAGAAACTTATATTTTACAGATTTCCCATATGTTTGAAATAATAGAACGAATTTAAGAGTTTGCTCTCACTTTATAAAAGTCAGCACTAAGCCCCCAGGAGATGTACCGCGCCGTCAGCCAATTCTGAATGCGCCGTAGCACCTCCCTGCAAAACCAGAGTATCGTTCACAGCATCACCCGGCTCCCTGCTCCGAGTGGGGAAAACTCCACTTGAGTTTCTTCTGAGGCATTTCTGGGCACCTTAATCCTCCTATGCTACTTCTGTGGGGTTTTTTTTTTACAAAATTTTTTAAAAGCTCCCCCGAAATGAGAAGCTGTGCTCTTGCAGATGAGCCAGCTTGGGGCTCCACGGAGGGAAAGCGGCTTCGGCATTGCGGCTCCAGCCGATTTTGAGCAGCTTCTGGAGAGTCAGCATCAGGGAGGCGGGGGGCTCCCAGCTGACGGGGACCCCGAATGCACAGGGGATCTCATAGCCATGGGGCACCCTAGAGGCATAGGGACTTCACACACATAAGGGACCTGAAACACGTGGGAGGCTGCAGGCATTGTGGGTCCCACAAATACGGGGGGTCCCACGCACATAGGGGACTCCTCGCACATAGAGGATGCCATGCACATAGGGGACCCTACGCACATAGGGGACCCCATGCACATAGGGGACACAATGCCCATAGAGGACCCCATGCACATAGGGGACCCTACACACATAGGGGACCCCATGCATAAAGGGGACCCCACGCACGTAGGGAACTCCCTGCACATAGAGGATGCCATGCACATAGGGGACACAATGCACACAGGGGACCCCATGCACAAAGGGGACCCCACGCACGTAAGGGACTCCCTGCATATAGAGGACCCCACATACGTAGGGGACCCTCCGCACGTAGGGGGCTCCCTGCACATAGGGGACCCCATGCACATAGGGGACCCTACGCACATAGGGGACACAATGCACGTAGGGGACTCCTCCACATCGGGGACCCCGTGCACAAAGGGGACCCTGTGCACAGAGGGAATCCCACACACACAGGGGACCCCATGCACATAGGGGACCCTACGCACATAGGGGACCCCGTGCACATAGGGGACCCCGTGCACATAGGGGACCCCATGCACATAGGGGACCCCATGCATAAAGGGGACCCCACGCACGTAGGGAACTCCCTGCACATAGGGGACCCCATGCACATAGGGGACACAATGCCCATAGGGGACCCTATGCACATAGGGGACCTCGTGCACATAGGGGACACAATGCCCATAGGGGACCCCATGCACATAGGGGACCCCACGCACATAGGGGACCCCATGTGTGCGGGGACCCTACAGGCCCGGGAACAGGGATAGACTGCCAGGACTGTGCACAGCACCAGCGTGGCTGGGACCCAGCGCCTTTGGGGACGATGTGACTGCAAGGGGTGCTGCGCTCCCCAGGAAGGATAACGGGGTGCTGCGCTCCCCGGCAAGGATAACGGGGTGCTGCCCATCCCTTGCCTGAACCTCATGACCCTCATCACCCAGCCACCGAACACAGCCCGACAGTGCAAAAACACCATCTAACACCCCGGACAGCCGAAATTCCTCTGGTCAGCCAAAAAGCAAGCAAAGCAGGGACGAGCCTGCCACAAAACCCAAACTGGGAGAGCCACCGTCCGTCCCAGCAGCCCCTCCATGGCTGCAGAGGGGTTTGCAGGGAGAGGAAAGCCCCAAACCCCTCTGTGGTGCCCGGAGCTGGGTGCCCCCATCACCCCAGACCGTGATGGCACCCTCTTGGGCATGGGGAGGCTGGAAGCACCCCGGGGGGTGCAGGATCCGTCT